TGTGTGTATTATATTCTAAATACTTGCCTATTGGACAGATACCGTGACATGGTAAGTGACACATTTTCAGTTGTTGTTTTTTTTTACTTCCGTAGCTGGCACTGCGCCCGTGTGGTTCCCGGGGCCCTGTCCAAGAGACAGGGGAGCAAAGAATAGTACCACTCTATACGCTCTTATACCATCTCTCTGACCGTCTAGGTACCACTGTATCCGTACCGCGCATGTCGTAGAAAGCGACTAAGGTCGGTTAGGTAAAGGATTAGCAGCCTTTTCCCGTAGTAAAACAAAAAACAGCTACAAAAACATCAATAATCGTAAATATATGCCTAAGAAGGATAGTGGGGATCAGGTGGTACGATCGAGTCACACATTCTCAACTGTGGGAAAGAACAAAGCCAAAGACAGGTAAATGTAGTTGCATTAAATACACCAAGCCTCTCAAATGCAACACTTGTAAATGAAGACAGCTCCGTGGTCAAATTGCTTGGGAACTCTATCACTCATAACAACAACAACAAACATTTTATAAAAAAATGATTGTTATGAATTACGATGATGTGTGATCGATTGTTATGATGTCACTGTAAACACAAATCTCCATACAAAGTGATCAATAGCGTCTCTTCTTTATTCAAGCTGGCTGGCATGTTACAATAAACACATGGTTATTTATGCCATCGCGGTGACTTTATCGAAGTTCAAAAGGTCAGTACTAAACATTCACATAATGAGTAGGCTAATGCACATCTGTTCTCTGCTTATCATGTACAAAGAAATACTATTTTATTGCTAGCATTGTATTATCAGGTTTTCCACAGGAAGAGAAATTGACGGAGAGAACTAATTATAAAATATAAATCTAGTGTGAAGCAATAGTTCACCATCACTATCATTTTTCAAATTGGAAAGCTCGAGAAAAAAACCAACAACAACAAACTGGAGGATGGAGCCAAAGATCGTGTAGAAGATAATCTTTGGTGGAGCTGCTCCTGTCGCAGGCCGAGAGATTAAGAAAAAAAAAGCATGAGCATATATATAATCTAGATCTTATACATAAATAATAGAATAGAGCAGCTTTGTTTACATTTCAAAAGATCTCACCTCGTCTGCTATTAGCTATATAAATCCCCACAATAAATATGTTGTTACATAAAAACGAACATCTATAATCTTATACTGTAACAACAAAGCAGCAGCGGGGAACACAATTGTTACAGAAAATCCACTCGGAGAAATCACAAACAAACTGAACGAAATGATATAAATGAAAATAATACGCAGGGAACTGCTACGCTGCCAAAAACGCACTCGCCGTAGTTTAGATAGACTACCTGATTATTCAGTAAAAACGACCAACAAACACAAGAAATTACGAGGGGACATTACTCTGAGTAAAGTGATGACAGGGCAAGGGGCACCACTGCTGCTATCGTGGGAAGGGAACCGCTAAGTGAAGTGTTGGTTGGCACTTTACAACTTTGGTCCATCAACAGTGTTGTCAGCAGCGTTCACATCACAGAGTAGGCAACAGCACTGGCGACAAGATGGTTGCCAACTCTACTATCATCCCAGCATTTCTTGTCGGCTGGATTCAAATCGTCGTTCCTGGCGATTGCTTCGACGAATTTTTTGTCAAGTTCAACTTTCTGCACGGTTTGTTGACTTTGACAAGATTCTAGATTAGACTCTAGATTCTAGATCTAGATTTCTAGATCTAGATCTAGATTTAGATCTAGAGCCTATGTATGGGCGATTGTCAAGATTTCCGCGTTTAATTCCGATGTGCGTTTTTCATAGCCTCAGGTATGTTTCGCTTTGGTCCCTAACCCTAACCCTTTTAGGGTCAGGGTTAGGGTTAGGGACCAAAGCGAAACATCCTAAGGCTATGAAAAACGCACATCGAAATTAAACGCGGAAATCTTGACAATCGCCATGTACGGCATACCGTCACCTTAGTGTTTTGTAATGACTATTTCCGGAAGTGAACTTTTGCATTACCATAACTTCGGCTCTTTCAAAATCATCGACCCAAAATTTCGTTTCCTTGAGAGGCCAGCCTTTCCTGTCGGTGTGGAATGAAGTTTTTAGTCAGATATAAAGAAGATCCCTAAACGAGACTTGACGCATGTCATGACATGTACCCCATACCGGCACGTATCGGGTTTTTGGTCATGGCATGTACCCCATACCGGTACCCCCTACACCTCATACCAGCACACTCAAATTGAAGCACAACTAGGCGTTTGAAAAGAGGAAAGAAGCAAAGACGAACTTCTTTTGTACAGTGGGCCTAAGACAGAACTAATGACTGTCTTTGATCTGCGTGAGGGACATTACCGCCAAATATCCGGTAGTTTAATCTTAAGTTTTACAAGTTGTGTAGGCTGTAGCAAAAATTTCCCTTTGTTGATCTTTACCTGTCATTGTGTTTTGGGGATCAAATGGTGCGTTTAGAGGATGTGGCCGTGAGTTTGAAATCTAAATTGTACAGTACAACACCTGTCATATATGACGAGAGTGTGTGTTTGAGCAGAGCATGCCTTTGCATGGCGTGCGTTTAGGCGAAGACGAAGTTTTTCTAGCACAGCTGATCAATGACTAGATCATTTATCTTTTACTTTTAGTGCAGGCACCTTTACTTTTACTGTTCTACAGCATTCACACGTGTTGGCCATCGTAGGCTGAGCTGAACATTTAATTACATCATGAAATGTTTTATGTAAACAACTGTCTGTCACTTTCATTTTGCTGCGCAAGGAGCAGCCTTGCCAAATATCCAATAGGCTGTCCCGGTGGTTTTATGCACCCCGCATAATTAGCAAAATTTGATCATTTTTGCATAATTTCTGAATATTTTCCTTTATCATTCTTTGTTAAAATTAACAGAGAATCGCATAATTTCACATTTTTGGGCTCAGTTTGCATAATTTCAGAATTTTTCTTGCTTAAAACGACAAGGACAGAATAGGCCTACTCTTGTTTTTGTTATCATGAAATGCAGGCTGACAAAGTTGTTGCAAAGATTTCCCCTTGTCGAGCTTTACCTTCCTGTTACAGTTTGAGTGTTTTGGTGTTGTTGTTTTTTTGTTTGACAAGTATTTTACAGTGCTCACAACTGCATAAACGGTTATAATATGAGCGCGCGAAATAAATGTGCATTTTTAGTTTGGTAGGAATTAATTTTGAATTTGCCCAGGTGGTGGTTGAAGCCTATATAATATATTCTTATCAATTTTGGACGACCAAGGGATCTTTATGAAGCGCAACTTGCACATGGGACATCCGAGATTTTTCGCCCTTATCTGAGAAGGCTAGGTGTTGGATTATACCTCTAAGAACAGGGATGTGGCTGAAAGACAGCAATAAAAAGTGGGGAGGGTGGGGGTGAATGGGTAGAAAGTGGAGATGAAAGCAGACGACAGAATATGGTTAGAAAGCAGAAACGGAAGGGAAAGGAGCTAGAGACAGAGAAAATCTAAAGAGAAAAACTTTTTTCGGCGCTGTCAGGTTTTGAACTCAGGACCAATTGAATGAGAGGTGAACACTGTAACCTCTAGACTCTAGACCATGAGAGCCCCCAGCATCATGTTTTTCAGGAATTGAAACATACACTTAAAAGAAGTGAATGTGGGTTTGAATGTTTAATTAATGAAGTAAAAAAATTGTCATATGATAACAGAGTGCATTTGAGCGTAGCATGCCTTTGTGTGGCATGCGTGTAAGTGGAGACTACTGTATTAAGCAGTTGAACCTGTGTAATACAGCATATTGTGAGGGAGAATGTGACCGTCTTATGCAGGACTAATCAAAATGAAGAAAACAAATTGTTCCCTTCTGAGGTCCCAGCGGCATGTATGTCGCAGGCTTAAGACTGCCGGCAAATTAATTATTTTTTTCCTTTTGTAAGGTGGGAGGGGATAGGAGGATTTTTGCAGGATTTTTTGTTGTTAATTTTTAAAATTGTATTTTATTATTTTGTGCAAGGTTAAAACAAAATAAAATCTTTTCTTGATGATGCCGGTACCTTTCCTTCCAGTTTCATGCACTTTTTATTTTCCTAAATTTTCATTTTGAGAAACTATCACTATCAGTAATGACTATTTCTTAACTTAATAGTACAGTAGTCTCCGCCTGAGATCCCGGTGAAAGGGAGCAAAGAAATGTGGGATCTTAACCGACGATCCCAGGAAAGAATCTAATGGTGACCCATGCTAAGGCTTACAATCGGTAAAATGGTCTCCCTCCACCATAAAATGAACTGACGTGACCCCTTGGTGGGTTCATGACATATGGCGAGCAAAGAGTGGTTAACCTTGATGGCCTATCACTGTGCATAGTGCCATTAGGGGTGCCATTTTCACTTATTATCCTATCATGAGTCTCAAGATCTACACTTATTCAGTTGCCCCTCCCCTTTTCCTGTCGAAAATATTTAGCTTTCCATCTCTGACCAAGTTTCCCCCCCCCCCCTCCCCAAACGCCTTTGTCGTTACACACCATTACGTTGTTAACACACCAATTAAAATTCAGTCTGTCTAGCAAATTCGGGAGTAGAGACAACTTCTGCAATGGTCAGGGAAAAGTTCACAGTTCGATGTGATCCCGCCTGGAACAAACGTGTAGGCCCTATCCACCCAGCGAGTGATGTAAGTTTAGGGGGAGAGCTGAGGTGTGAGTGCGATGCGTGGGGAAAACAAACGTGTCGGTCAGTTCACAACCCGGTGTGATACCGTCGGGGGCAAACATTGTATCGCTTCATCCAGTTTTACAACGTGTATGTGATCACATTCACGATAGTGGCTGATCTTTGACGCGACGGACAGTTTATTGATCTCAATTTTTCACTCTTGTTTGATCAGCTGTGTCTGCCCGGGTTTCTGTTCTGCAAATTATGATCTGAAATGCCGGATCTTAGCCGAATGTAGACCTTCAAAGTGAATCAGAGCGGGATCTTAGGGGTGAATTTTGTATAGTAAATATTCTGTTTTCTTAAAACAGTGGGATCTTAAGCGAACCGGGATCGTAAGCGGTGGGATCTTAGGCGGAGACTACTGTATTAGGTTTCTCTGTCCAGAGCATTTTATTTTAAGAATCTAATATATCTAACTTATATAATATTACTCAAGCAGTAGGACATTTATACAGCACGAGAGGAGAACAGATGTGCGTTAATCATTATGTAAATGTTTAGTGTTGACCTTGTGAACGATGATAAAGCTATCAGTGGGTGTGCTTTGGCCATGTGTTAATTGTCACATGCCAACTCGATGGAAAGAAAAGACATTATCGATCACTTTGTATGAAGATTTATTTTGCATTGACAACAGGATAATCAATTATATATATATATATATATATATGACATTATAACAAATTAATTGAGCAGTGGGTTGTTGCTGGTTGCTATATTGCTATACACTGCCATTATTTGTGCTTTTTGCCAGGGTAGATTGCACAAACTTAAAGTTATTGCCATATGTGGCATTGCTTTACTTTCTACATAATTTTTTTTTTTTTTCGAGTGGTATGACCACTGGTGCTTCTTTAATTTGCATTAATCACTGAAATTTATTGTACTTTAGGAAGTCGTGGTAGTTTAAGTTTAATGCTACTTCCACCCTGTCAGTGTCAGCTGTGCGGAAGTCATTACATGTCATGTAGTGAAAAACTAAAAATGAGAGTTGAGAGTGTATCGCTTACTAGTCTTACTCTGTCACATAATTTTTCCAGTAGGGCGTACCTGTAGTAGTACCGCTATTTTTGACTTTTGAACTTTCATTTACACAGTCCCGTGCCCATCTTAGTCTTGTCTATTGAAGGAAAATGTTAAGGGTAATGGTAATAAAATGATTTAATGATTTGACCAGAAAAGATTTTAGGAAAATTTATTTTGCAATGTTTGTATCTTTCCTCAGTGCCATGTCTCAAGATTACCATAAGCAAATGTCTTGGATTCGCCATCATCCTTGGATCCAGCATTGGTAGACTTACTTTCTTCTTTGTGTTTGTGGTTGCTAATTGTGTGCCATCGTGGTAAAATCAGGCACTCGTCAAAACAATGACATAATGAAGTCGAGAAATCCATATTTTTTGGCCTGTTGGGTATTTTTATTGATTTTTTTTGGTACTCAGCACCTTTTAAATCCATGTACAAACACATTTCTGTATTGATTTTTATTGTAAATACTTGATAAAAAGGCTTACACAGTTGTAAATTTACTATTTTCAAGGAAGTCACCAAACTTTGGCAGCCATTGTCACTAATTTTGCCTCTGAAATCAAGTGCCCCCCCCCACCCCCCACCTTGTTCAGTTTTTTTTTTAAAGTCGACTTCTATTCAAGATAGATGTGTAATGTTTCAATCACAAGCAATTGAACTGAACAAGCTTTAATTAAGTAGTTTAAGCACTCAATAACTCTGTATGCCCCAAAACAGACGAGCACCTGATTCCACCTCGTCTTGACACAATAAAAAAAAAAAAATAAAAACGTTTTGCTGGGTTTTGTTAAAAATCTGGAGGTGCAAAACTTTTTAGGCTTCAATTCTTTCCAGGTATAATTTTTCTAGAAATTTACAGTGCCATTTTTATAGCACCTCTCAATCCTTGTTGTTAGTTACTGGTTGTTAAGTGATGGCTTAGGATTACATATGCTTGTTGAAAGTCAAGCAGTAAGTATAAGCTCTTGAGATTTCTCTACAATAGGACATGGTTACCTTTCACTTTTATAATGAACAGTTGGCACTCTCTCTCTTGTATTAATTACTAGTATCTTTGATATTGCGTCCACTGCTCAAAGATTTTGTGTGTTCCCTTTCAGTCAAATTGCCGCAAGTGATCAAGATTTTCAAAGCCAAGAGTGGGCAAGGTATAAGTCTAGTCAGTGTGACTTTTGAACTTATGGCCATCTCTGCGTCATGGGCGTACGGTGCAGGGAACAATTTCCCCTTCTCGTAGGTACTTGTGTGTCCCCATTTTTGTTTTAATTGCAATGTTTTGTGTGGTGGCTGTTTGGGACAAATGGCACGTACCCTTAATTGAAAGGAGAAGTCTTTCCTTCACTTCCTAAACTTCTTTTTCTGTCCTTACTAATCTTACTCTACCCTCTTTTTTAGTTTTACTCACCCTGCATGCATGAACTCATTTATCTACTAAACCTCACGGCATGCATGATATTAATATGCTTGCCAGAGAAGAAGAGTATCATTCATAAATGCAATACTGAACTGCCTCAAAGCACATTTATGTACCTGTACTCTTTGAGAGAGCTGGACACGAATTTGCAGCGCAGCAGATGCTCCAATCTTAGTCTTATAGTAGAACCTCTGAAATTTTTTTATATATATATATATTGGACAGTCATTTTTTCAGTTTTATAAGTAGGCCTACTTCTACGTTTTCTTTCGTGAACTTGGATAAGACAAGACAGATCTGTTCTTTTTAAGTTAAAACTTGCACGTTCTCTGGTGACTGAAACTGAGAGTCTCTGTTGCATTTAAGTTTAAGTCATCTCAACAGGGAAACCCCATCCTCGTCTAGGTTAACAGTTAGTAAGTACAGTCAGTTGGGCACAGATAACATAAATATGGAAAACTTGAAATTAATGAATTCATAGATAGCCTGTACAATTTGCCGTTCCCCAACTGAATCTCTTTAATTGTTCGCCATATCAATTTACCCGAATTATGGATGTGTTGAAGCTGGAACACATGTGTCAATCCCCGACGTGTTTCAGTTATCAGTGCCCAACTGTATTACAAAGTATTAGTGTAAGAATTGTTTTGTGCTAATTAAGTGTTACTTGGACACCTATCATGATGTATAATGCAAATTTTCAATTTGATTCAAACCTTTCATTCCCAGCAAACGACACACATATACTGATATCAGATTCCGCTATGGCTGCATTGATATGCAAATACGGTCATATTTTGCTAGACTGGGACAATAAAGCTGTAACATGATGAGTGCAAATTATGTATTTTATGCCGCCCTCATACTCATAAAATTTTTAACAGTGTGTATGAGTGTGAGTGTCTGTCTTGTAAACTGTAGTGCATATGGATTGAGGGATTGAGATTGTCTATAGAAAGAATAAGATTAAAATAAAATTGTGTGGTATTGTGGTGAACTCAGACGCTTTTACTTTACTTTCTCTGTGTTTGCCTAGATCATGAAGCTTTTGGGTTGACTTTTTGAGGAACTACAGTATCACATGGTGAAATCAGGCGCTTGTCAAATTTAAATGATGAAATCCGAGAAATCTGCATTTTCTGCCAATTTGAATTTTTTTCTCGAATTTTTGTCTTTCCACTCAACACCTTGTATGTCCATTCAAAACACTTTTATGTATTGTATGGATTATATGGAAAAATGGGGATTAAAGGCACAAAAAATGTAAATTTGTTGTTTCCAAGGACTCTTAACCCACTGACTACTTCAGTACTTCGCCGTTGCACCAGTCACTTGCACTGAATACTGGCATTTTTTGGGAGTATTTCAAAACTCCACCACAGCTTTCAAAATTACCTTATAACTGTTGTAATTTTTTTTGACACAGTAAAGTTACATTCAAGTTCAAGCTTAATCCAAACAAAAAAAAACCCCTAAAGTTGTCTATGAATTATACTTAACTTTTTATGATTTAAAAAAATTTGCCATGAATTTGATTTTCCGAAAAATTTCCAGAGATGTGACAGGTAGAATGAAATTCACAACAACAACAAAAATAACAGTTCAACAAAGTGGTCTGCTGTGTGAGTGTTTGATGAAAATGTAAAAGCTAAGCTGTGCGTTTATTCAGACCCATGCACTGAATTATATGAGACAGATGTAGGGCACGAAGTTGTCTGATTTCGTTGTGCTAACAACAGCACCAGTACTCAGTGGCGGGGCGCCATTGGTGCAATCGCTCCACCTAACCCTGGCCTTCACCCCTCCCCCCCCCCCCCCCCACTTTCTATAATCTAATTGTTCTATACCAGTCAGTGCTCGAGATCTACATTACTACATCCTTGCGATCCGTCACCCGCTGGCTGCACCAGTGAAGCGACAGACAGTGAGGATGGTTTATTCTGGTCGCACCGCTTGCGGTAGTGTCTGCTGGGAGCCAGCAAAATCTTTGCACCAAAGTAATTTTGTCACTGTGGAGAAATCTAGGCATCGTTCTTCCCGCACAAGAAGAAAAATGCTTGAAACTGCTCTTCGCAGCACCAATTTGGTGCAAGCTAAAAATTTGATCCCAGTTTCCGCTAGCTTGTCTACTACTACTACACTAGTAGAGTCTACGGTAACCCAATGAAGAATGGGTATCGAAATTGTTGTCTCCCTCTATTGTGTAGCAAGTCCTGGTGCTGCATGAAGTAATAAGAAATCTTTAAATCTTCTCAGATTTGGGCATAGTGAGTTGTTAGTATTGTTTCACTTTATTGCAGCTTTTATGCGGTTTCATCTAGAAACAGTTGTAAATATCGATGAATGTAGATTAGGGGATGTCCTGCAGATTCTAATTGACTTTTTCTAGAAATCTTTATACATATAGTAGCAACATGTACTAAGCCTATTGCCCATTTGCTCACTTTCCAATTATCTGTCCCGTCGTTTTATGCAAGAAAAATTCTGAAATTATGCAAACTGAGCCCCAAAATGTGAAATTGTGCGATTCTGTTAATTTTAACAAAGAATGGTAAAGACAAATTATCAGAAATTATGCAAAAAATGATCAAATTTTGTCAAATTATGTGGGGTGCATAAAACCACGAGGACAGAATTATGCACCACCTTGTCTACAACCCTCGCGACGCCACTGCCAGTGCTACTAGTACTAGAACTAGTAAAATGAACAGAAGTATCGAAAACAGCGAAATTATATGATTCTTGGTCATGCGACTTCTTCGACCGTTTCTTCGAAACTACTATCAAGTTACTATCATCTGTGTATAGAAAAAACATAGCGCTAGTTCCAGTCAGTCGAACCCCAGTTGGGATGAATTTCTTGCACCTTCAACTACTTAACCCTTTCTGTACGTCATGTTTTACTATCGTATCCATATGGCATGGGGAACCCTGTGCCACCATTTTCGAAAGAGGAAATTTACTCGTTAATCCAATCCTAACGCTTTGCATAGTGGTCTGTCAAAAAATGATTTTTTGAGAAATACTGAAAGTTTCAAAGAGATCTTCATACTAGAAGTATTCTAAAATGTGAAAAATACAACCCGGGGGTACAAAATCAAATGACCCCAGGGTGTACGGATAAGTTAAAAAGTTACCTCGCAACTTCTGCCAAACTCAGCACGAAACGAAAGAGATAAAACTAGCGCTGGAGTCTGTTTCCGTACATTGTGATGGGAGTGCAAGTTTTGGAACAGTACCTCAGAGTCCATCCTGTCGAGGGTATGGGATCCGCACCAGCGATCCGGCTGCCCATCCCATACCTGTAACGGGAACCATAGTCAGTGAGTTAAGCTATGGGAGTCACTAAACTTTGGCGGCCATTTTCTCACTAATATTACTTCTGAAACCAGGTGACCCCACTTCCTTCAATCGCAAATATCTCAACTTCTATTCAAGATAAATGGTTCATCGAAAGAATAGCAAATGAAAAACCTGCAAGGTGATACAGTAGTCTCTGCCTAAACGCTCGCCATACAAAAGTTCGCTCCGCTCAAACGCACGCTTTCGTCGTCTGACTGTTTTTTTACTGTATAATTTTGACATGCGTACAAATGCACAGTCACTCCCTCTAAACGCACGCTCCGATGTGCGAAACACGCGAACAGGTACGCTTGACAAGGGGAAATTTTCACTACAATTTGCACAGCTTACTTAGGACAGGCATAGAATATCGGATATTTGATGAGACTGCCCCTCATGCCGAACAAAAGAGAGTGATGAACAGCGTTTTCACACCGGACTTTCCACAGACACATATAGGTCTAGAATTGGTCGGTGAAATGTTGGGGGGTTGGTGGACTGAAATGTTATTTGATTGGTCACTGGAAATGCGTCTCTCTGAGAGGTTTCTGACTGGTGTTTAGGTGACTGCATGTAATGTTTAGTTAGACCTAAGCCTATGGTGCGCAGCACGCAGGAATGCTCGTCAATGAATTTACGGTCGGGGGCGGTCGCTTGGGAAGCCACATGGCTGGGCCATCGCCTCTATGACTATCACCAACAGTTTCCTTTTAGGCTATCTGTTCATGACATTTAATGGTGCATATAATTACATTGAGTCTGTCTTTCTGCACCCCCCTCCCATTTAAAGCCTTTGTATTCTTAACCGCAGTCGGGGAATCCTTCACAATAGTCTCGTGTCGTCACATTATCGGCCCAGAGTGACCCCCACCCCAAAGGGAGGTCACTAGAATATCAAGGCCATGAGATGACTGCATCTCTTCCTCCCTTTGCAAAGGTTCATGTAAATGCACACTCCGTATAAACACACGCTAAGGAGCCCTCCCGAGCACTGTGCGTTTAGAGTTTAGGGGGAGACTACTGTACCTACCAATAACTCCATATTTCCAAAAAATTGACAAGCGCCTGATTTCAACATGTCATGACACATAATATGTAATAATAATAATAGTAAATAGCATTTATATGGAGCATATCCCCACTCGAAAGCAAGCTCTATGTGCTTTACACTATATTATTATTATTATTATAATATTATTGATATGTATAAGTGTTCATTTCACCACTTTTCTCACATTCCAGGTCGTACGGAGAAGCGATTTTCCTGGCAATACAAACAGGCAGCATTGCATTTATGATACTCTTCTTCTCTGGCAAGCATATGCACGCCGTGGCGTACATGTCCATCTTTGTGGGCAGCATGGCCTTCCTTCTGTCTCCGGCAGCTCCAAAAGAACTTCTGGCCACTCTACAAGCTGGCAACTTATTCATGGTGGTGGCCAGTAAGGTGAGTAAGAACTTGTTTGTTTGAGTTTTCACCAGGACGGAAGATAGGCCTACATGTGCTGGGTCTGTGCGGTGGTCAAAACTGAAGTCTAAAAAAAGATCTAAAAATGAAGTGCAGGGGAACTTACTTAATGTCTCATAATGCCGGTATGATGGTGGATGTGAACTGCGGCACATCAGTTAGACTGTCCCCGTCGTTTTATGCAAGACAAATTCTTAATTTATGCAAACTGAGCCGAAAAATGTGAAACTATGCGATTCTGTTGATTTTAACAAAGAATGATAAAAGAAAATGATAAGAAATAATTTTAAAAAACGATCAAATTTTGCTAAATTATGCGGGGTGCATAAAACCACGGGGACAGGCTAGATGGATGAACAACAAAAAAGTGGACGTTTTTTTTCCATCCTGCCCTGGTGTCTACCCAATTCCCTATGTCAACTTCCACAACAAACAAAAATACATGAAACTGTTGACGTGCTGGGACGTTGACCAAAATGGCCCAAAACAGACAAAGCTGGAGATCCTTTGTTGCAGCCCTAAACGCCAGATGGCGTAACCGGTAGAAAGTAAGTAGTAAGTTGACGTGCTGTGCCCAGTTGTGATTGAAGACTATGATCTTGGAATGTGAGAGTTCACCTCTTACTCTAATATTAGCCATCAGTGTACAAGTTTTCTTTGAAGTCAAGCGGGTGGTACGTGTACATGATGTTTATCACAGTGTGAGCGTGCCTGTTGTCGTTGGCTCGATATGGTACTACAAGACATAACAGATTCATGACTTGAAAAAACATGAAACTCTCTGGATTCCAACCTCAGATTACCCCCCCCGGGCAGTGCCACTGACTGTGGTGTCTTTAGGCCATTCTCAAAGGGGGGACATTTCTCGTTCTAACGCACAGTAGAATTGTAAATGGGCTGAGCCATCATGTCACGCTCATAACTGTGCCTGGTCTGCAACAGGGGATTTCTGCTTTTTCTTTCCTAATCCTTACTATTAATACTATTGTCATTTTTTCTACTTCTTTTGAATGTTTGTCACACTCTTTGTGACCCGCTCTTTCCGAGATGCCTTGATAGTCGAAGCAGACCTTGTGCTGTTGAAGCTAGAGGGGTGAGCAGAGTTAGTCTGATTCCCTGTAAGGACTTCTCTGTTGACACTCACCCCTTGGCGCTCATATGACCTTATGCAGTTGCGAGCGTCGTAAAACCCTCTATGAAAAAACCCACCAAAAAACCCCCCTCAGATTGCCCAGTGTCTCCTGTGAGTCTGCCCAATTCCAGGAAGACAATCGTCCTCACCATCTGTAAACATCCCAACAACACTAAGACAAGCCGTTGCAGAGTTTTTTATTTTGGTAAGTGTTTTACGGTGCTCGCAACTGCATAAGGTCTAGAAAATTTTAAAAAATTTTGCCTGGGTGGGCAGCCGAAGCGTACACTCTAATAGATTTTGGACTATCAAGGGATCTTTAATGTGCACAACCTGCACACGTGACCTCCGAGTTTTTTTACCCTTATCCGAGAAGACTAAGTGTTAGATTTAGATCTCATCTACCACAAGATCAGGGGTGTGGCTGAAAAATAGCAGTAAGAAGAAGCCAAGGAGTAGCGGAAGAAAGGCTGCAGGAAGAGTCCGGAGCCCAGAGAAGGGGACAAAGGAGGTGAAGGGGTGGGGGCAGAAAGTGGAGACGAAAGCAGACGGCAGAACATTGCTAGAGACTCAAAAAACACCTAAATTGGCCAGAATAGCTTTTAACAAATATATCCCAAATAACAACCTTCTAGGGAAAAGAAGAATACAAAAGTAAAATAAGAACAATTTATTTGAAAGCAACACCCCACAAATCAACACCCCCGCCATGCACAAATGAACACACTCCACTTTCTCTCTCTCACTCACTCAAACTTTCTCATGCAAGATTAATCTCTCTCACTCACACAAGCTTTCTCATGCAAGAGTAATCTCTACCCTCTTGCTTGTAAAATATTTCAGTCTACCACTGTTTTTTCCGTCTTGATGGCTGTTACCTGCACTTTGAGTTACAAGAAATCTATACACACTTTACAACAAGCCCACTGCTCAGCTACCATTTTCTGTACTGTTTAGCTTCTCACTGCAGGTCATCGTCGAAATACTCGGGAGGAGGACAACCGCTATCTGACTCGTCCCCATCTTCTGCTTCTTCATGTTCGAACTCCGGTTCCACCATATAACTGTATTCCAGGCCTATGCCCTCATCCCCCGAATTTAACTGCATATTAGCTAGGGCAGCGATAAAGGCTGCATAACCGTCATATGGATCTTCCCCATATTCCTCGTCCTGTGGGTTTTCACCAGCAACAACTGCAATAGCAGCGCCGAAAGCACCAATGAAAGCGTCTACGTTTAGTACATCTTCTCTCTCCTCGTCTTCATCTTCATACTCCGGAAAAGCGGCATCTTCTTCGTGAGAATCATGTTCACGAGAATTGTAGTCAGCATGATCGGGAAAGCGTAACGGAAGCGGTCCAGCCTCTCTTGGGCGTCTAGTTTCTTCATTTTGGGGGAGAATGGGACATATGATTCTTTCGCGGTCCAGACGGCGTTTGTCCTCCAGTCGATCTTGTGCTGTTGGAAAATTGTAGTCTTCGGCATACACAATCTTTTTACGTGGCAGTTCTTCCTTCTTCTCCTCGTGGCCCTTTGCCCTGTTCTCTTGTTCTCTCCTCTCTTTACTACAGTATGCTGCCCCCTCCAGCTGCGAGTGTTGATCCGCCATCGCTGTCGCCATATTTATATCTGTGGAAGATAATGAAACAACGTAGATCAGTAGGGGAGAACAATCAGCTCTGTTACTACTGTTAATTCTGTACATACATGTACAGTTGAACCTGCCATGACGGCCACCTCTATAAGACGGCCACTTTCCATTCACCCCTTGGGTTTTTTCTATATAAGGGTGGGTGGTTGGAGAGAACTAACACACAGACACACACACACACACACACACACAAACACCCTCGGCGTGGTCCTGTCAGAGATGGACATAAATTTGGGGATCCCTGCTATTCTGACTGAAATCCAAGGAAACAGCATTTTTCTTCCTGCTTGACAATTTTTGTCAAATTTTTTATTTTTTGGCTCCACACCTTTTATGTCCATTTAAAAACACATTGGGGGCTCTCGTGGCCTGGAGGTTAAGGTGTTGGCCTCTCATTCAAAGGTCCCGGGTTCGATACCGGGTAGCGACCAAAAAAAATTTTCTTCTCTAAAATTGTCTCCTTTCACATCCTTTCCTGATCTCTAACAATGTTCTGTTGTCTGCTTTCATTTCCACTTTCTGCCCTCACCCCCTCACCTCCTTTGCCCCCTCCTCTGGGCTTCTGACTCTTTCTGCAGCCTTTCTACTGCTACTCCTTGGCTCCTCCTAACTGATATCTTTCTGCCACACCCCTGATCTTCTGGTAGGAAAGATCTACACCTAGCCTTCTCGGACAAGGGCGAAAAATCTCGGAGGGCCCGTGTGCAAGTTGCGCACGTTAAAGATCCCTTGGTGGTCTAAAATCGATAAGAGTAGGCTTCGGCCGCCACCCGGGCAAAATTCAAAATTTCCTACCAACGAAAAAGTATTAGGTGTGTCCCGCGCGCTCATATGACCTTATGCAGTTGCGAGCGCCGTAAAACCCTATACTAAACAAACAAACAAACAAAAACACATTGATGTGTGGTTTCTACTGAAAAACGTTGAACAAAGAAACAAAAAAAATGTAAATTTACAGTTTCCAAGGACTCTCAATCTTTGGAAGTCACCAGACTTTTTTCTCTCTAAATTTCTCTGAAACCAGTGACCCCCACCTCCTTCGAACACAAATATCTCGACTTCTATTTATTAAATTTAAGATAGATGGATACTCTTTTCATCGGAAGCAAGACAATTGAACAAGCTTTAAGTTTAAAATGATACCAATAACTCCATATGCCCAAAAATTGACGAGTGCCTTATTCCACTGCAACTTGACACACATATATATCGGATCATAAGTGCACATGAGGGCATAACAACAGTCAATGGGTTAGAGTGTACATAAATTGGTTCAATATAGGCATAATGTATGATAGTGGTCTTCCTTATCTTAGATGTTAGAGTTAGAAACAGTGTTGGTTACATAAAATTATGTTGAAAAAACCCCCAACAAAACAACAACAATCACGTAATATTCTATAAAGACGTAAGAGAATCTGGTCTTATTTGTTACACAGCTCCTTTGTTAAATAAAGCTGTAGCCTTGTTAGATTTACTGTAATTTTTTTTTCCTATTATTATTTGACATTTTGTTGAAAACGATTGGTATGCGACGATTTTAGTGGCCACACGTGTGCTCTGCGGGTTAAAAGATACGGCATTTAGATAAGAAAGTGTTCTTTTTAAATCGAAAATAGGCACAGAAAAAAAAAAAAGGTCACAAAGTCTGGGTATGGGTAAATTAATGCACACAGATTAAGAAAGACACTGTCGAGAAGGAGATAGATTTAGGATAGATTTAGTAATATCATGTACTGCATAGAACGTGTCAAGTCAACGTCAAAGTTTGTGGAGTTTGGACAAAAAAAGGCGGTAAATCTTTCGAAGTGTCTAGCCGTACTTAGATCTAGGCTTGGCCCAATCGACTCAAGCCCAAGCCTGCTAAGTACACAGGTCTCATTAGATCTAGATATCTAGATCTAGTAATTATTCAGGTTCAAATACATGCAAGTCAGTAAGGCACTTTTGGTTTTGTCTGAAATACAAATACTTAAGGCATTGCAAACTAAAAATTTCATTTACAATTCAGCCATCAATATTAAGTACGGCTTGCCTGACAGTCTAGCCGTCCTTAAGTACGGCTAGCCTGGCTGTCTACCCGTACTTAAGTACGGCTAGACTGCCACGGCTAGACTGCCAGTCTAGCCGTACTTATCTTAGGCCCTACTAACATTAGAAAACAGGAGGTTTAAAATACATGCAATGTCATTAAGGCACCTGGTTTCGTCTCAAATACAAATACTTTATGTACTGCACACTAAAAATGTATATTTACAATTCAGTAGGCCTATTTTTTGTAAATGGTCAGTCTAGCCATCATATTAAGAATAAGTACGGCTAGACTAAATTTTTACTTATGCACCCACACATAGATATATGCATTGATCTGGGGGCTAATACTTACCATAATTTGGGTGGTTTTTTTTTAACTTTAATATGCACCCGTCTCATGTTCACATTTTATATAGATCTAGTTCTTTTCTAGTAGTATTTTGCATGCTAAACACGAATATGGTCTTCATTTTTGCCGCAAATCAATAGTCATTTGAGTTATTGATGTTTGAAAATAGTAAATTTAACAATATATGGGGGGTTTCAGGGGGGCATGCCCCCTGACTTGAAAAGAATGGGGGGGGGGGGAGTTCAGGGGGGCATGATGTTTTGGCAATTAGAATTGATATTTACTTGAAAACAATTGATTGGCAAGGGTTCTAGTGGCCATACATGTGTTCTACAGCAAAAATCATGGCAGTTTAGCCCTCAAATCAATGCTTCTGTGTGTGGGTGCAAAAGTAAAAATTCACCAATTTTTTCTTTGTTTAGTCAATTTGGTCGTCCACGCCAATAGACAGTATTCAGACATTAGGAAAAACACGTCTTGTTTCACACCGGGTGAGAATAGCCAACGCTGGCAGTGTCTCCCGGGGTGAGAGGTCGATCGTATTTTTATCCTCACCCGGGGTGATTAATACCATCAAATAATCGGTTGTTTTTTTTTTAACTTACTAATGCTCCCGCCTAATGTACATGTTTTATTTATTTTTTTAAGTAGTATTTTGCATGCTGAGCACGAAAATGGCCTTCGTTTTTGCCTCAAATCAATAGTTATTGAGTTACTTAATGTTTTAAAACAGAACTAGGACCAGTCGAGTGGCGTAGTAGAGTAGATCTAGATCTAGTACTTGACTTGTTTTCAACAACATGGAGGGAAATAATCTACCAACGTATGCCTATTATTAGTTACTAAAACTGCCATGGACTTATCGAAGGGCTCAGAAATATTGTATGTAGGGTCAAAGAAAAAAAAAGACCAACCGTAGCCCAGTGGCAGTGGGCCAGTAGACTAAGGCTGCCATGATGGACTTCTATCGAAAAAATAGACTTTGATTCCACGTGTATGCCTGTTTTATGTCAAGGTTAAGGCGTAGACTAGGGGTGAAAATGACATTCTAGTAGGCGTGTAGAAGAGAGTTGCGAGTTAACTTGCGAAAAACAATCCAACCCCCCCACACACAGATTCAGAAAATATTGCTAACTTATAAGAAGCATAAAGAAAAGATTGGTCAAGGAAACAAATTACTTACCCGTATATAGACTGGGACTAGTAGAACTTCTGTTTGTGCAACAGACACACTTGTGGCGACACTGGGCTCTGGGACACGGCTGGTGGATACTGGATACGTCACACACTGACTGACTGTCTTCTTGGCGCTAATAATTGATGGACACACGGGTTGTAGACTTGACTTCACCACCACACTATCTAGGAAATAATAGAACGCGAGAATAGTAGACTTTACTGTACTTTACACACTCGCACGTCTGTCTTTGCACTGGGAGTTGTAGGCTTAGACTAGAAGTAAGTTTTCCCACACTGTGCACAACACTGTCTTTATTGCGGTAGGACACAGCTGTATAATTTACTGTATACTGTATTCTGCAGAGATGTCACATATACACCACACTAGCTACTAGTAACTACTGTCTCGGCTCATGACTCGCTGAATACTACCTCACATACAACTCGAAGGCAATTTATATACCCATGGCGTGACGTAACAAAATGGCGTCTTGTTTGTTGTTTTAAAGAAAGCCGCGGTGGAACCTCAAATCCCTTTGTCCTATGGAGTCACGTGTCGCTGGACAATTTTTTAAATGAATAGGCTTAGAAAGAAAGTGCGCAGTACGAATCGATTGTCCCTTGACCCTCCTTTTGAATTCAATGATGTGAGAAATTTTTTAATGGGCTGACCTCTCACGTGTTTTAATCGGATTTATTTGTAACTAGTGTGGAATAATAGGGAATCGAGATTAACGTTAAAAGCCATTTTTTATTCTTATTTTTATTTATTTATT